TCTAAGTAGTATTATAGGGTGTTTTTTGTTTTCTTAATATACCAATGAACCTTATAGACAAAAAACATGCCTAAATATCCATACCAGCATATATATGTTGGTATAATTATCAACATATATTGTAGTTTATATTATAAAAACACCCCAAAAAAATTTCAACATAAGTATTACCAGCATATATTGTAGACAAAAACATAAAAGTTGCTGCATATTCTCATTGGGGATACATAAAAAGTTGATACAAAAGACTTTTTGAAAGTAATGTGGAGGCAAGTTTGGGCAAACGCATATTTGAAGACATGTTATTGAACATCTTTTGTAAAGCATACATATTTTTGTGTATGAACAATAATATTTTTGGTGTATGACATGTTAGTGACACATCTTTTGTAAAGCATAACATCTTTTGTAAGCTTTAAACCCACTTTTGTAAAGTTTTAACCTACCCTTTTGGTGTATGACAGTATATTATTTCTGTTTTTTTTATTCATTGTTTACACTTTTTTTACTGTCTTTTATATTTTGATATGCAATATAACTTTAAATCTTATATGTTTGTTTCTTAATTTGCATTAAGATCAGGGAGAGTTGTTATTTTATTTGAGTTTTTGTAGAGCGTGTAATACAAACAAATTGTTATAAGTTCTTTAAGAAGAAAAATTTTCAATATATTTTTTTCAGTATCTTTATCAAAAAATGACACAAACTTTATAAATTTCAACATAATACGTATAAACTTATAACTAATATTTTAATATTAAATTATTTACACCGTGCCTTTAGGCACGGGTATACGCTAGTAGATACTATATCTCATATATCTCCCTCTTCCCCCCTCCTTTGTGTTGTTTCCTTGGCTAAAGGTGTGTTTACCTTACTTTTGCACCATTACACACACCATTACACCTTACTCCGAAATTAAGGGACTTGGAGGAGTTGTTTCTTGAGTTTTGGACTGCGTTTTGATCCAAAGAAGGAGGCTAGACCCTTTGTTCTTCAAGGTTCTTCAAGGGTGAGCATCTTCTTTTTATTCCCCAACTTGCATTGGTTTTCTACCTATTTTGTTTACTGTTTTAGCTCTTGGTGTATAACATGAAAAAGGCTTAAATTTTCCTGCTCTAGCACTTTCATTAAGGTCACTTGTGGTTTGTTGGTGCAAACTCACCCTCATAGGCCTTGTTTGGTCTATTTTTGGTGCCTCTTTGATAAGGTTTTGTTCACTTCAGATTTTGTCTTCATCACTAAAAATCAGTGTATCTTTAGTGTCAAAAAAAGGTTTGGTTTGAAGTCTTGCATAGGGGAGGGACACCCTCTCCCTTTATGGTTTTGTTTCCTGCTTTTTGGGCTCAAAAGGATAGCATGTGTGCTTGTTGTTTCTTGGCTTCATTCAGATTTTTTTATGGCATCTTAGGTCAATATATAACCTCTGTTTTTGGTCGGATTTGGGCCTCCTTGTATGCTTGTAATACTTGCTTTGTATTGCTCCATCTTGCTTAGAAATACATCCCATGATTAGGCATGTTCTTGGTGAGTTGGTTTTAGTTCCAGAAGTTTCTTAGATGGATGTTTTTCCATGCTTAAGGGTTTATTGGTTATCCATTTGTCATGCTTGACATGTTTGTTAGGGTTGCTTTGTATTTTTGCTTAAAAGCTTTGAGCATGTTGACTTCTAACATGTATGTTTATGATTATCCTCATGATTTAACATCATCTAGGGACCACATTTTAGTCCAAGAATTCGATGCTTGTATGTGTGCACGCATGGGCCTCTTTCATACCTTGAGGGTGTGTCCTCTTATGCCTAGGATGAGCCTTAGCGCATTCGTTTCAATGGGGATACTTTAGCTGCCATATTAGGAGTTTTTGGGGTCTTATTTTGCATGCCAAAACTCTGTTTTACTTGTTTGATCATGCCATGAGAGTCATGTTGGTGGGGGGGAGTTGTCTCCTTTTGTGCACTAACTTTGGGACCATAAATTTGCTTGTTAACATAAGTTGATTGTTCAATCATTTTGAGCATCTTTTGGCCACTGTTTTGAGAAGGGTGAGGGCCCTCCCCCCCCCTTTGCCTTAAGCCTCTTGCATGCTTGCTCCATGTTTGTTGGCATAGTCGTTCCATTAAGCCCTTGAGCTTATTCAATCCCATGGTCAAGTTGGTCCATGTTTTGCACCTTTTTTTTGTACCTTGTATGCTTAGATATGGTACATTTTGTCATGTTGGTTGCATAATGTTTGTTGTGCTTTATATCTTGGTGGCATGATACATTTGAGCCTTGTTGAGCATTAACATGCATTGCATTTACTTGTTTGGGGTGTCAAACTAAGTTTGGAATCAAGGAACCATTCATACTTCAAGTGATGCAAATGTGCCTCGATTCCCGGTCATCGGGACTTTGACTCCAACTTGATAAGGCCTCGGTTTTCATGTTGTTGTTGCATACATCCATCATTAAGTGGCAAATTTGATCCCATGAGTCATCCATGCAACATTGATGGTCAAGGTCGAAGGTCTTGCTTCTTTGAGTTCAAAATATGATAGAAGTTGGACCATGCTTACATGTGTCCAAGAACTCCATGCCATGCACTGTCTGTTCTCTGTTTTGCTGTCAAATTTGTCTTCTGCAGGAAGTTTCTGCCGACCGGCAGAATTTAGTGCCGACCGGCACATATCTGGAGTGCCGATGAATCCGATAAAGTGCGATGGAAATTGAGAAGTGTCGGTGGTAATTCTGTCTGGCCGGTGGTGCTCTGCTAGATGTAGGGAACTTGCTCCAGTGCTTTGGCATTTTTCAGAAAGACGAGGCAGTACAAACAGAGGAGGCAGGGTTACGGTACGGGTTTTTTCGGGCGAGCCAAGTTCCGAGCATGCATCATCTGTGCATCCCGAGGCAGAGGCTGTGGCCACCCTCTCTTTCTTTTGCTTCCTTTCTTTTAATTAATTAGGCAATTTTGTATATTTTCATTTGTTCAATATTTTGGGACTGTAATATTAATTCGAACCTCTGAGTGAGGGTAAACATGTAATAAGTGTGGGTGAGTGTGTGTATGTCTTCCAATCCCCATTTCTTTCTTCCCTTTTTATTTACCTGCTTATGATGGTAGATTAGGGCATTTTTTGAAATTAGCATACCTTATGATATATGCGTGCATTCATGCATTTGTTGACATGCACCAGGCTCGGTACATCATACTAACCGCATTCGTTTTCAAATTTCAAAATTGAATACATGAATCAATTGGTTGCATATCATATGCCAATATTTAGGTTAACCGAGCCTAACTAAAATTGCATCTTGTATGTGTTGCATTAGGCAAAAACATGAACTACGGACATGCACAATTGCTAACTAGTTTATTGTTTTGGCACGGAGTACAATGTAAGTGGTTATGCTTTAGCATCCAGCATGCGTGTGAATGTTGCCATAATAGTATGCTTGCCATGCGGCTAAGTGTTTAAATGAGATAAATTGCTTGAATGCCTGTGGGTGGAGGTAGCTGTGTGTGCGTTAAACTATATTTGTTTTAAGCCCACTTGATAGTGGTAAAACCGTTTTTTCCAAAAACCCACTTGAGGGTGGCAAAATCTGCATTTTAGCCTACTTACGAGTAGCAAACCATTTTCAAAAACGAGACATGGCATGAAATGTTTTGTTCCAATTTGGGTGATTTGGTCTATACTTGTTTGCTGTGCGCATAACGTAGTAATTCTAGGCTAATAATTGGTTTAAGAACACATAACGTTTTCAAAATTGGATATCACGGTTAGTAGAGGCCGGTCTTCGGACCGGGCGAAAGGGGGTGCTCATAGCTGACCTTCCCCGATCGTACCCAAGCTCCCGAGCCGAGACAAACTCCGGTGATGACGGACACGTGGCCTTCGGCACCGAGTCAGGGTTTCCTAAATTTCCCCATTTTGAAAATATTTAGGTGGCGACTCTGTATCTGGCAAAGCAGTCCATGTGTGGCACTACTTTTCAAAAAAAAAATCTGTTTTCTCAAACAATTTGCCAGATTTGGACTCTTTGGTTCAGATTTAGAACCGTGACACAAATCGAGTCCGAACTGTAGCAAGGGTCCCTCGCGAACTTGTTACACTTTACCTGGTGCAACAATGGCCGCCCTAGGAGTAGATTGAAGGTCACGGGAACGTCCAAGACATGAAAGTCAATATCGTGTTGTCCTGGACCGACCCTAGTCTGAATCTGCACAATCCCCATCACTTCTCTGCTAGTATTGTCATATGCCCGAATCACCTGGATAGTGGGTACGAAGTCCACGGGCTTCAACCCGATTGCATATGTCGTCCTTGACGGACATACGTTGATGGCGGATCCCGTATCGACAAGAAATATTGGTATCCATTTGTCTCTACACTCCATAGAGATGTAGAGTGGTTTGTTATGGTTTGTGCCCTCAGGCGGCAACTCCTTGTCAGTGAAGGTTAACGTCGGGGAAGCTCCTTCCGAAAAAACCAATCCTACTAGCTGCTCAGGCGTCGTGTCGATTAAAAGTTTAGCCATGTCCATTGCAGAAAGGACAGTTTGTCTGTGTACTGTTGAAGCCATAAGCAGTCCCCAGATGGAGATGTCTGCTTGTATCTTCTTAAGCTATTTCAATATAGTCTCCTCTTCGAGTAGTTTCTCCTTTTGCCTTTCCGCCTCCTTGTCCTTTCCGGACGCCTCTGGTTGATCTAGGTGTGGGGGCTTGAAATATCGCCCACTTATAGTCATGTGGTTCACCTCTCCAATATACCAGGTGTCATCCAGTTGGTTGTTCCCCCAATCCTCGTCTGTGTGGGCAAGACATAGGTCATCATCTTCTTACCACATGCCATCGGCCATCAACAAGTAGCTATCCGATTTTGTCACAACTATTCCTGAGCGCACAACACATTGCATTCCCATGCCCACAACACATTCTATCTCTACGGGGGCTTTGGCCTTTCTAGCCCTCTCCAGATCTGCAATCTTCTCTTGCTCAAACTGTTTCAGTGCAGCCTGCTACTCAGCATCCCCTGTACTCAAACTGTTCTGATCTTGAGCGAAATTCTTAACACCGATGCTCCCCGGCAGTTCATTCTGATCTCCGGCCACTCCGGCCACTGTTGATGATATTTCAACCCTTGATTGCCCCTGGTCTTCCTGAAGTTGTTCAATAGCATCTGGCTCATCACTGAGCCACTCGGTAGCTTCTACTGACCCATCTAAATCGAACCAGTTGACAGTTATGTCTCCCGGATCCTGTTCATTGAAGAATTGAAGGTTGGCTATGTCCTCTTCCAATATCGGTAGGTCATCTAGCCCCTAATTAGGTCCATCCTCTCGAACGACACAGATCTCTGCTCTGGCCGGTAGTTCTACCCTTGACTTAATCTGCATTGTTCGTGTAATGTGACCGCTCGGGTCGTACAGAAATCTTACAGACCCCTCAGGCTCTGAATAATCATTTCCATTTTTTCCTGCAATCATCCCGGTTCTATCTTCGATAGTCATCAGCATCGGCTCAGGTTGGGTTTGGGAGATGTCTATCATGCACAAATCCATGCTTTCTAGAATGAACACCTCCAGCTTGGGTAGGTGAGAAGGGGTGATATATATGCTGGGGTCGTACGACACTACCCTAGTTTGGATTAGGTTAATGTGTTCAGGAGGTGGAGCTTGGTTATGTGGTGGCAGTGGGTTGGTTGTGACGTTTGGTTTTTCCGAAGGTGCGATCACCTTCTTGTCAACGAGATCTTGGATGTCGTGATGCAGTCTAAAGCACTGGTCGGTGTCATGACCATGCTGTTGGTGATAGGCATAGTACTTAGCTGGGTTATGGTGGGAGAAAGTTTTTCTGGCAAGGGCCGTTGCTCTAGGGGCTTCATGTGCCCTTTCTTGATCAAAACCCCCAAAGCTTTGGATAGGGGCATGTATAGTGGGGTGAAGGTTCTTTGGCCTCTGGGCGCATATCCAGTTTGTTGTGAGCTACCACCGGATGCACCGGTGAATGGGGTAGCTGTGAGGGTTTTGGGAAGGGTGGTGGTGACCATTCCGACATCCGAAGTTCTGCCAGCTACAGCACTACTTGTGCCTGCATTTGTACCGTGGTTAAATGCCCTCTTGGGCTGCTCTCTCTCATTATCAATGAGGCCTTGTTTCATGGCGACCTCTATTTACACCCCAATCCCATGTAGATCTACAAAGGTGGGTATGGGGAGGACGATCATCTTCTGTATGAGCTTGGGCTAGAGGTTGCGCACAACCATCCGTATTTGATCTTTGTCCACAAGCCTGATGGTCATCATCGAGGCCTTAGCCCTCCAGCATGTCACAAAATCGGAGAAGCTCTCCTTCCGTTTTTGCCTAGTGGTCTCGAGATCACGAGTTGCGATCTCGATTTGAGTGTTATAAAAATATTGAGCTATGAAGGCCTCAGCCATCTCCTCCCAACTTTTCTTAATGGAATCCTCTAGTTTTGCATACCAAATGGCCGCTATACCTGACAGGGTTTAGCCAAATAGGGAAAGCTTCTGTAATCTGGAGAGGCCCATCGGCCTTAAGATGTCTGAAAACAGGTGCAAGTGCACCATAGGATCTCCAGACCCATCGAAGCGGTCTATGTGCGGCATTTTAAATTGGTCCGGCAGAGTCACGGTCGAGTCGGTATATCCATCCTCTATATCCGGAATGGATTTCACACCTTGAGACTTCTTGAAAAGCTTTTCCAGCTTGCTTACTTTTAACGCCGTTGGATCCACCTCGAACTCGAACAATGAATCCACAAGGTTGGTGGGTGTTTTAGATAGCTAGGGTAGGATTGGGGGTGAAGCTGGCCCCGTGGGGATGTCCGTATCTTCCTGGACATTAGTTGTCTCCCCAAGTATTGGAACCCTGGGTGGGAGAGGAGCTTGGTGTGAAGTAGATGCTCCAGTCTGCTGCTGTAGCTTGGTAATTACCTCTGCCTGTTGGGCCATAACCTCGACTTGGCGTGTAGCAAATTTTGTTTAATAGGCAGCGTCTTGCTGCATGGCTTTCATACTTTCCTGGAGCTGACACATCATCTTTTCCAAACCTGCCATACTGTCTTGATCTAACTGAACAAACGGTATATCTGACTCTACAGTGGAAACTGAGACCTCAGCCTAACTGTTCAAGGACCGCTGATCTGACAACCTCTGTACTGATACACTGTGCCTTTTTGACCTCCGCCTAACAACTGGGATAAAGAAAGAGACACTGCTTGTCCATCTATCAGATCCCTGGATCGATTAAGTCGTCGACCTCTAACCCAGAGTGCTTAGGAAATATCTGCCAGGTCGGATGCAATTGTGCTAAACCACCTTGCAAAAAGATAAATAAACCAAAATAAGGAAATAAACAACCAAAATGCGTAGTGTGCTATGTTATGAGCTGAATAAATTAAAGACAAAACACAGTTGGCCTGACAACACACAGTCGGTATTTGTAAGCTGAACACACTATCTTTAACTCTGATCACTGTGCCCAAATGGCTGCCCCAAATCTGATATCCTCGGATAAAACTGATTCCCAAACACTGATGCCCGCAGGCCTGATACCCAGACTTGCAAACTGATACATAACCTGTAGAGGCACACTCCAATAGCACATAACAAGCAAGTGAGAGCCAAAACACCCCTATGTTGGGGTAGGGTTTTCCTGTTCTATTTTGTCAGGAGCTAGGATTTCACTACGCACACAACGGTTTCAAACAACCTACAATTGGGTAAACAACCTGTCCAAGTTTGGAATAGTCACTACGGATTCCGATATGCACTAGGTCGAATGGTCAAAAAGGGTGCCTCGGTAAAAACTGGGGTTTGTGTTCCTGTTGTAGCAGAGCTCGCAACCAGTCAGCCTTATGGCACGCTTCTCAAAGCAAGCCTTCGGCAAACCATTCAGGAATAGCATACGGCAAACACGGTGCGCTAGGTGCACCAATGCAAATGCAATGCCAAGAGACACATAAGTGTAATAAAAACAAGATATCATGAGTTCGAGTCAAGTTCTCTAACTCCCCAGCAGAGTCGCTAGAAACTGTAGACACGCCCGAGGACTCCCGAGCTCCACCCGTGAAGGTGCGAAATTCGTTTGCTCTCTAGCTACTACAAGTTCGGACTCATGTCATGGTTCTGAATCTAATCTCACAATGTGCGATTTGAGACCGATAAATCAGGCAAGATTCCAAATCCGGCAAATGGTTTTGGAAACTGATTTTTATAAAGAAGTGCCAAACATGGACTGTTTTGCCAGATACAGAGTCGCCACCTAAATATTTTGTTTTGGGGGAATTTAGGAAACCCTGACTCATGCCTAAGGCCACGTGTTCGTCATCACCAAAGTTGCCTCAGCTCAGGAACTTGGGTACGATTGGGGAAAGATCATTTAATGAGCACCCCTGCTTGTCCGATCAAAGATCGGCCTGTACTAAGCATGATATCTTGTTTTTTAAAACACATGTGCTCTTATTCCGGTTAATTAGCTAGAATTACTATGTGATGCGCACAACACACAAGTATAGACTAGATCGCCTAATTTGGAACAAAGCATCGCATATCCGTTTGTTTGGAAAATGGTTTAAAGTTGGCTACTCGCAAGTAGGCTAAAATACAAATTGCAATGAATTGTTCCAATTCAGGTAATCCAACCTTCACCCATAGGCATTCAGGCAGTTATAGCAAATAAGTAATTAGCCTCATGGGAAGCATGCTTTCATGGCAGTCAATAACACACATGCAGTATGCTAAAGCATAAACACTCATAGTGTACTCCGAGCCAAAACAGAGAACTAGTTAGAAATCATGCATGATCCTAGTGCATGTTAAGATGGCTAATGTAACACATGCGAAATGCAACTAAGATAGGCTCGGCTACCTAGAATGTCATGTGAAATGTAACTTGGTACATGTATTCAAATTGGAATTGAAACACAATACAGCTAGTACGATGCGCCGAGCCCGTTGCATGCAAAACAGATGAATGGATGCACGCATGCAAGCATAAGGTATGCTAAATGAAACATGCCCTAAAACTAACCATCGTAAGCGGTTAAGTAAAAAGGAGAAAGAAATGGGGGTTGGAAGACATGCATCACACACACGCACGCTTATTACATACACAATTGCGCCCTCTCGAGGGTTGGGATTGAATAAGAAGCTAACTGGCTATTAGTATTTAATTAATTAACTAATCCTAGTTAACTAATTATTACAAAACGAATTGAATAGCTAATGCATTAACTAATTAAAGTACAAACCAAAGCAAAAGCAAGCTATCTAAGCATGGGAGCTAAGGAAAGAAGGAGGTTCTTGGAGGGAGAAGACTGGATGCATGCAAGCCTGATCGCCTCGTTCGAAAATCCAATGCGTTGCCCCGATTTGCCTCTGTTTTCATTTGTTCTCCGAAACTTGCACCAAGCTCTAGAAAGCTGAAACTTCACCTTTGGAGTACTGTGGGAGGGTGGCCGACCACTTTTGGTCTCTCTAGACACCTGCCAACCACTTTTGGTTGTTGAAAAACTAGAAGAGTGGTTGGCTAGCTAGTTTTCTGGCTGGCCGGCCAGTTGTTGCTGCTGAATTCTAGTTTGCTGCAACAGAGAGCAAGAAAGGGCATGGCAATGTATTTGCAAGATATGTGTGCACAACCACCCTCCCTACCATGTCATGGACTCAAGGGGGTGTGGTTCTCGACCCTTGGGCCACCAATTGCGCATTTCAATGCATGATGGCCGAGATTCATAAGCTCAAGGGAGTGCGATTTTTGACCCTCGGGCTACCAATCGCGCATTTCAATGCATGATGGTCGAGAAGCCAAATTGCACAATTCAATATGAAATGAATGCACACATAAACACATAAAGCCTTGACCTCTATCATGTATGATCAAGAGCGTCGGCGACCGAAAATTGAGGCACGTTTCATCACTTTAAGTATGAAACGTCCCTCTTTTCCCGTGTTTGGACTAACACCTATTCCAAACACAATGCAACACACAACATGGCATGCACTATGCGACAATGTAATGCAATGAAACAAGCATGCAAACAACATGCAAGGAACAAGCATGCAAACAACATGCAAGGCAACATGATCAAACTACCAATGCTAAGGGCATGCAAACAATGCCAATGCATGCATACATAATGCAATGCAACAAGGGGAACTTATCAATGTTATAGACAAGCATACTCAATATAAGGCAAAATAAGCATGCAAACAACATGATACAATGCAACTAGCATATACAATGTGAATGGACATGGCATACACAAATGCAACGAACCAATACGGCATACTCAATGCAATATGATCATGGCATACTCAATGCAATATGATCATGGCATACACAATGCGAATCAAGAGCATGGCATGCGTAATGCAAACAACATAACATGCACGGTGCGATGTGACATGGCATAAACAATGCTCAATGGGCTTAAACCGAATGTGGGTAGACCTCAGCCATGCCAAAACAGAAGCCATAATGTTAAAATGAGGGCACCAAAAATACATACAAGCATGCCATGCCAAAACAGAGGCCATAATGTTAAAATGAAGGCACCAAAAACACATACAAGCATGCATGCCAATTGGCTCACCAATTAAGGCACTAAGTTGCAACTCTTAAGAACACTTAAAGAGTCAAAAAGCATGGAAATGTAGCAACACTAAGTGCACTGAAATGAGGTAAGAAATGATGCTAAATCATTTAAACTAACACAAGTGTGGCATGCTAGGGTCCTTAAAGCATGAAGCTAGTAAAGAAGACTACCAAGGGAGGCATGCAATACATGGCACATAAGCATGAACTACGCATGAATAAAGCTTAAGTAGGTTAAAATAAGGACCCAAACATGCTGAGACGAGGGCTCAATGGCCTAGGCATGCAAGCATATGAGTTGAGGCATAAACTAGGCAACAATGCATAACACTCAAAGGCACTTAAAGCATGATTGAGGTGGGAACATGGCAATGCTAAATGCTATGAAATGTCATATTAAGTGATGCCAAATCATGTACACAACACAAATGAAGCATGGAATGGTGCTCAAAGCTTGAGGCAAGCATGAGCATTTGTACTACAAGTATACAAAACATGAAGCATGTGATCAAGGCAACCCAAAACAGTCCTAGAACATGTCGAAATGAGTCTAAAACATGTATGAAAGGATGCCAAAACAAGCTAGCATGGTGAGCATGATGCATGGTGCATACAAGGCAAATAAGGTGGATTACACTACACCTATTAAGGCCAAGCATGGGATGACTTAACCAACAAAAAGCAGAGTTATATCATGGCAAAATAACCCCAAAAACACATTGAAATGATGGCTCGCAAACTAAGGCATGAAAGCATACGCAATGGTTCATGTTAAGGCATAAAGGGGGAAACCCTCCAACGCATTGAATGAGTAACAAATGTGAATGTATGGCCATGAAACATGGACTGAAATCACATTATAAATGATGCCAAATCATTAAAATAGTCCAAGTAATGCATGCTAGAGGATTCAATACACAAGGCTAACAAGCTAGATCGAACCAAGGATATACAAAGCAAGTCATGCATGGCCAAAACAACTAAAATCAGAGCTAAATTATGTTAGAACATGGACAAAAGCTTCATGAAGTTAAGCCAAAAGCATGCTAGAATGACACGTTACAATATGATGCATGTTAGGCCATCTCATGGAATTGCATTACAAGTGCATGGAGCATGCAAGGGCCAACCAAACCAAACCAAAACAGAGTCATGACATGGCAAACCATCACCAAAAACATGCTGAAATGGAAAGAAAACAAGCTAGAATGACATGCTACTTCATGAAGCATACAAAGCTAGTTTGTGTGATTTACACTACAAGTGTATTAACCATGCATGGGGTGACCAAACCAAGCAAAAAAAGTGGTATGCCTTTAGAAAAATAACCACAACTAAAATGCTAAGAACAAGCCAACATAAGCTTAACAAGGGTGCTCAAACATGAGGCAAATGAAGCTAGTAAACAAAATACAAGGAGAGGGGATGGCCCTCTCCTATTTAGGACACCAAAACCACCTTTCCACTACTAGAAATCCTCTGGATTTTAGTGATGGAAAGGTCATGCAAAGAGTTCAACAAGAGCCTAAAGGGATGGCTTAAAGCAAAGCCTAACAAGGCCCAAGGGAGGGTAAAACACCCCAAACGAAAAAGTGACCTAAAACAACTATTTTAAACACTTAAAAATAGAACTTTTTCTAGTTGAAAGTTAAGCTCAAAACAGCATGCAAATAGGCTCAGAAGCTTAAGCAAGAATAGGGGTTTTAAAGGTCAAAGACTCACCTTTGAAGACCTTCTTTATTACTGCAACTCCAGCAAGTTCTTTGAGCTTAAATCAGTCCAAGAACACCAAAAACAACTCCTTAGGACCTCAGCTACCCAAGGATGGTGTTTGAGTGTGTGTTTGTGTGTTAAACTAAGACAAATCTACACTTTTGAAGCACAAAAATGAAGAATCAAGCTAGATAGATACAAAACTATATGTATCTCTCTAAGGGCAATTTTTCTGAACCTAAAGGAGGGAGGAGAAGCCTGCCTCTTATAGAAGAGGAAAGGAAAAGCTTCTAACAGAAGCTAAGCACCTAGGAAATCCCTCCATACACTATGGAGGATGGCCCTAATGTCCTCCAGCTGCAGCTGGAGGAAAATATCTCCAAAAAGGTGCGAAAAAGTAGCCGACCACTCTGCTACTTAAAGTGGTCAGCTGACCACTTCGAGTTGTCCACAAAGACAAAAACTGGTCGACGATGGTGGGAGAGAGTCCAGGGCATGAAAATAATGCAGTGGTGTGTTGGCCGACCAGAAAAGATGCCCCAAAGACCAAGAAAGCCAGTTGTCCGAACAGAAACTGGCTGGCAGAGGAAGAAGTGGTCGGCCAGGAGAAATACTGGTCTCCCACCCTTGGACCACATTCCAAATAAGGAAAACAAGGTTTGTACCAAAAACAAACCAAAGCGGATGCAAGACGAAAGATCAGGAGGCAAAGCACGCGGCCGAAAGCCTCGAAAACTAGTCTATGAGCATCAAAAGTGGTACGCAACCACAAAAGTGGTCTCCCAGACCACAGTGTCCCTCTAGGCAGAGGCAACAAGGTATGGTTCAAAAACCACGCTAGACGGAGAGCGTTAAGCAATCTCGAGACAAGGCGTGCGACGAAAGGCTCCAAAAAATCGGAAACTAGTCTCCAAACGAGAAAAGTGGCCTACGACAACAAAAAGTGGTCTACGACCACAAAGAGATGGTCTACAAGACCTCTCCCTCCCTCCGGGAAGTGAAAACAAGATTCGGTTCACAAACCGAGCCAAAGCACAAAAGAGTTCAGAGGCCCGGAGGCAAGGCTCTCAGCCAAAACTCTAGAGACTCGAAACGAGCTCAACATGCACCATCACCGAGCGCTCAATCGATGACGTCTAAGTCTTAAGGTCAGTCAAAAATGGGGTGTCTACAGGTGGAGAAGTCACTTTGTGCCCTTGAAAGGTAAATTTCTATTGTCCCGGAGGGTGGAAACTAATTTGCTTAGTTAGACAGTCAATTGTCGCACGATAGTCACTTAGCCAATCTATACCCAGAATAACATCAAAGTGAGTCATGTCAAGAGGCAATAAGTTGGCATATACCTGGATATCCCCAATTAGGAGTTCACAAGCAAAATATACAGAAGTACAGGCCATAGAGTCTCCCAAAGGTGAAGACACACATAACATATAAGATGATACTTCCTCAAATCTATCTAAATTTTGAGCAAATAGTTTTGACACGAAGGAATGGGTAGAGCCAGAATCAAACAATATATGAGCTGAATAACCGTGAACAATAAATGTACCTGACACCACTGTTGTAGCATTTTGCACATCTCCCGGAACCAATGCAAACACCCTCCCTTGTCTCGCGGTGTCTTTATTGTTAACAGGCTTCACAGTTGACTTGGTGTTGGGAGCTAGTGTAGACCCTACTGAACTTGCAGTAGCCCTATTTCCATTTTGTTGATTTCTTTGCAGACAGTCCTTCACCAGATGACCCATTTTGCCACACCTAAAACATGCTCCAGTCAACCGATAGCAAGTCCCATGGTGCTTCTTTCCACATTCTGAACAAACAGGAGTTGAATCTTGAGTAGGGGTGGAAGTACTAGAGGTCCCTGAATTTTGTTTCTTGTTTGGTGGAGTGACTGACCCCTTTGATAATTGAATGTTCTGCCTCTTTCCTTCCCACTCAGAAATCCGATCTTGAGCAGCAATGTTTCCCTCTGCTATAACAACCCTCTCCAACACATCAACATAGGTGGGTAACTTCAACATGTTGACTCGGTCAAGGATAGCATTCCGTAATTCCCCTTCAAATTTTCGTGCTTTCTTATAATCCGTATCCACCATATGAGGTGCAAATCGGGCTAGCTCTGCAAATTGGGCTTCATACTCCGTAACGGTTTTATTTCCTTGTCTGAGAGTTTCAAATTCTGTCACCTTCTTGTCTCGCATACTTTGGGGAAATTACTTGTCATAAAATAGTTCCAAGAATCTGTCCCATGTTAACCCTTGGTGTACAGTTCTTGTAAGCATGCCCCACCTCCGTGCTTCGTCTTCAAGAGTGAAGGCAGCAAGTTGCACTTTTTGGGCTTTGGTACAAGGAAAAACTTTGAATAGCTTTTCTTTTTAATGATGGGTGTTGGGGATAGAAGAAGGTTATACACATTTCATGACATTAGACAGAAAACTTAGAGCACAAAGCTAAAAGCTTAGCAAGAATTCCACAAAATGAATGAGCTTCATCTAAGTGCTTGGACGCATTGAATTTGACAAAAGAGAAACGGACATGATGGGTTAAGACTGACCTCCAGGTTGATTACCTACAGAGACAGACATAGCACGAAGTGAGCAAGGCTTGGTAAATAATAGTACTTAAGCAATTCACTGAATAAACTTGAATTATAATGTATATAAGTGTAGAGAACATATGATTAATTTTATTCTGTAAATATTTTCAAAACGGCCTTGGGCCCAATCTTTATACAGAGTGGCTTCAAGCCCAGTAATCTACAGAACGGCCTCGGGCCCAACATACTTTATAGATCAGCCTTAGGCCCAACAGACTTTACAGATCGGCCTCTGGCCCAGATACCAACAAAGCAGAATAATTCCAGAGTTGTACAAATGTACACAGATTTTCCAATCGTTCATATAGGTTAGCATAGTTAACTTGCGAATAACTGAGCATTAATACTAATTATTAACAATAAGCAAATGTACTACTACAGTACTATTACTCACTGTGTTGTGGTGGAGCAATAGTCCCCTCCTGTATGTGACCTATACACACATACAGTTCAGACATTAGTTCAGTTTCCTTTTTAAACGATATTGGATTCGTTCACTTCTAATCAATTTAGAACCATGTTAAAACCATCAAACACAGATTTTAGTAATATCAGAGGGTCAAACAAGGAAAACGGAGAAGACAAATTTTTTGGCATGGGCCGCACGTGCGGCAGTCCCCCTCCGCACGTGCGGGAATGTAGGCCACACGTGCGGTAATCCTCCCCTGCACGTGCTTTTATTTCAGTACCAAGCGTCGAGTTTCCCTATTTTTTGCAGGTGCGGCTGTGAGCCCTGCACATATGGCAGTGTTTCCCGCACGTGCGGCCATGACCCCCGCACGTGCGGTCGTAGCCCCTGTTTTGGGCTGTCCCAATTTTGGCACAAATTCATCAAATCTCCACATCACAAAGGGAAGAAATGGGAAGAACAACTCAATATAATGGTATAACCATACCATAAACATGAAATACAACCCATAACAGCATATAATCATAAATTACAAACTTAATAAGATCATAATCTAACTTCTCCACTTAGTATATAAACAATAAAGATGCATAAACATGTAGTTTCAACATAGGAATTCAAGGAATAAGTTACAATCCCTTCACATACCCCAAATTAATTCCAAAACAACTGAACGATATGAACACACATCCAATTAAGTGATTACATACATATCTCATCCCAACTACAAACCCTGGCTTACACATTAACAAGAATTTCGTACTCAAAGTCAAGAGAAGGTTTGTACAAGAAGAATTAAACTTACTTTGAGTTCAAATCTCTACACTTTCTCCCAATTCTCCAATCTTCTTCCTTGCTAAACTTCTCCTCCTCCTCTCTAACTCTCTTCTCCTCTAACCCTCTCTCAGGAGATATTTTATGCCTTGGCATTTCGAAATCAAGGGTTAAAAGGATAGATATATATCTAAATGTTGAATCAAACAAAATTTAATCAGTTTAATCATCCCGAATCAGATTTTTACAGAAAATCACATTATACTCTTAAAATCATGTTGATCTTAGGTATAAAGTCAATTTCGGATTATTAAGCTTCTAAGGCTTCCAATTTCCGATCAAACATCATAATTATAATAGATATTTCTCTTATTAGACAGATATGAATCTCTAACCATAAGATTCACTCATTTAAACTTAATTTCTCATGAAATTTCACAGTAAGCATATAAATGCACAGAGTAAGGGACTGAAAGCATACCAGAAAACATGTACGAGGGTTGGGTTATTACATTACATGAGCTGAGGGTCTAGATTGAGAGTGCATTTAAAAAGGGTATCATCCACAGAACAAGTGAACCTGTAAGAAGGCCATTATCTCGGAATACCAATGCTAGCAGTAGTACTATTGCATGGCATGCGGATGTCAGTACTATTGTTTCAATAGCCAAGATGGTTGATCCTTTTGCTACTGCCACAACCTCACAACCCTCACAAAGTACCGGTCCACCCCAAAATCGAAGAGCTTTTACTCTCCTCTATATGAGCCCAACCCACGCCCTCAAGTTATTAATGCAAAAGGGGCATCTCAAGCCTCTTGATCCTCATCCACTTCCAAGCCCGTTGCCACCCAAACATGACCCTACCTAGTATTGTATCTTCCACCAATAACATGGTCATCCCACAGACATGTGTTACCGTCTACGTTATGAGATCCAGGATCTCATTGACAATAAAGTCATAACTCCACCTGCTAAACCAAACGTAACAACCAACCCACTCCCTACACACAACCAAGTCCCTGCACCCAGAAACATTAACCACATCCATACATTATCGCCCACGTTCAACCCTAATACATACATTACCTCATCCGACCTACCAAAATCGAAGGAGGTCATTCCAGAAGGCACATACATGTGCATGATGGATTTAATACCACAAACCTAATCCAGGCCTATGGCAGTAGAAATAGAGAGAGAGAGAGAGAGAGAGAGAGAGAGAGAGAAATGCATTGAAAACAGGGTTGCCTGATACCTGTGTCATAGAGAAGGGGGTCTCACTCTCAAAAGAGTATGATCCCAGTTTATACATTGTGGCCATCGATCAGCCGAAGTCAGTAGTCATACTGGTGGATTTTCTCTGCATTAATGGTATTGGAGAAGACCAAATGGCGCAGGATCGGAATGAGTGGCCCGAGCATGGCTTGAATGACTTAGCAAACCTAGAGGAGGATCTAGTAGAATTGGAAGAGGATCTGGAGGATCTTTACTTCTTTGAGGAAGAAGATACAAGCTATGCTCAAGTGGGATAGTGGGACCTGAGCTAGCCAGAAACAAGCAATGTATGGTTGAGTAAGGAGGAGTCAAATGTGGAGGAATAGATAGGAAAGCTGCGACAAAAGAGAAAATTATTGTTAAAAGCAGGGTTGAGGCTGTACCTCTGACTGAGAAAGAATGGACACTGGAACAATTTCAAAGGGAAAGGATAGAAGAGATCCAGGCAAAGATAGCTCTGAAGCAGGGCAAAGGAAATGGGAAAGAAGAACCTAAAACAATGATGAGTGATGCCCAAACTACCAGAAAAGTTGAATGGAACCCCAACAATCGAAAAACGATGTTAAGGAAGCTCAGAAAATACCAGGATTTAGAAATCGAAGAGGAAGAATGGTATGACGGTGGGGCGCGTGATGCCAGTCCGACCATGATTGCGGGAGAGTAGTGAGAAGACTGTTACTTAAGTCATGCATACACTGACAGAGGTTAGAAAGCTGATACCCCATATGACGCTTGGTATACCGACGAGATCAATCATATGACCCGGAGTGGTCGGTACTTCAAACCCTTAGCGTTAGACAAGCCAGAGACCTCTAATTAGGAGGCTAAGAGAGCAAAAGAGAAGGATGTTGAGCAAAACATGGTCTTAAAATAGCTCAAGAAGATTCAGGCTGACATGTCAATCTGGGGGCTAATAGTGGCTTCTCGGGAGCATAGGCAAGCACTGTTGGAGGCAATGAAGCAGATTAAACAACCTATCAATAACACTGCATACCAATTGGTATCATTGGTAACATCGGGAGATGTTACGACGGTGATATCTTTTTACAGATAAGGAGTAACCACCTAATGGCGCCAACCACAATCGTCCTTTATATGTAACCCTGGAAAGTCAAAAAAAGTGGATTCAGGTGGTGTTAGTAGATAACGGATCAGCGATTAATGTGTATCCAATGAGGACCACCTATGCCATCAGTTTAAGGCCAATTGAGTTTACACGTACCACCTAAGTCGTCCGAGCATATGACAATACAAGCCGAGATGTTATGGGGACGTTCAAAAGCCCTAATCACTCTGTCCGAACACGAAGTGGAATTCCATGTAATGGATGTACCAGCCACATTCAACTTACTACTAGGAAGGCCCTGGCTACATCAGATGAGTGCTATGTCATCAATAATCCATCAGTTAGGAAAGTACCCCTTCAAAGGCGGGTTGCCATTGTGTACGGTAATTCTACGATCCATCTTCCCCAAGGAACCACTGCACCATTATTGAAAATCATACATGGGAAAGAAGATGTGTTCCTTTCTGGCTTCTCTTTAGTAGAAGCCCGGTTGGTCCAAACCATCATGACAGAGGGCAGTAGAGACTATGTGAGTGCGCAATCCATATGCATGATGAACAAACAAGGGCATATGCCTAGGTCGGGACTAGGCCGAAGTGGCAGACAGGGAGGCAGTCATAACCCCCATGCCTTCGGGCCGAGACACAAATCCACCACTGTAGATTGGTAAAGGAAAAGGCAAGAGCTGAGAGAAAGGCTAAAAGCAAAGAGGGATAGAAAGCAGTACAAGTTAGTCTGCAAACCAATAAAGGGAACTTTGAACGAACGTTTTGTTTGCCAAGGGAAAAACTTCCCCTTTTGTGGATTCCCAGAGTCCGTGTATGATTGAGAGACAAAAATAAGGTGTCCTCGGCTTGAGATCTTTTTCGGACACTAGTTGCCAGAAGAGGAGGATGAACAAATAGACCTGAGTCCTAGCACAAATCAAGGCAGGACTATAAACGTGGACATCGAAGAGGAGGAGCTGTTGGGAAAAGCATTGGCTGACTTACTGACAAGTTCTATTGCGGGAGCTGAGACCAACTTGGGGGATAGTTTTACTATCTCAATGATCGGGGATAATCCAACAATGGATTTCT